TTGCTTCAAAGTGGCATATCCCACGAGGAACCCTTTTATGCCGTGTTCAGATGCCACGCCTACTCAGTCTCAGGGATAAGGAGTGTAGTTAGCTGCGTTAGGCTACGCATCCGCAGCGGGACACGGTAATACGGAAATCCTCACCGGCGGGGTAGTATTTGGTCGCTCTAGAGGGCGTACTTGTCCCTGAGAAAAATGGTTTTGGTTGTTGACCTTACTCTTTTTCCTGTACTAGTGGTAACAGCGCTTTATACCTCTCTTTTCCTCCGCCCCACCCACCATTCGACGGCGCTTTTCCAGGAAAAAGCTGGAAGGATTTCCAGAAGATAAACTCCGGAAAAGTGATAGGAACTTAGGAATAAGGGAAAGGCAGGATGGTACGCAGGGCCGCGGATCTTTCGTGGGGGAGGGCTGTATTATGCACAAATTTTCCCCAACGAAAGAACGAGTCCTGATCTGCAGCGTTGTAAGGGGTCGCTGAGTGCTGCAGGACAGTTCTTCCTCACCAAAGGTCACTAGTAAGTAAAAAACAAGCCCCTGCGGTCCGAGTGAAGACGTGCTAAGGGCACATGATGGCCCGTCAAATAAGTTAGTTCTTTTGAGAAAAGGAGGCCTCCAATTTGAAGGATGGCAGGAGCTTCAGAAACGTCGTCGGGAAGAAGAGTGCAGACTGAAAGGTGAAGAAACTTGAGAGTAATTTCATCTTAGTCCTCCGCGCTACCAAGCACAGCTCTATTAGTCCTAATTGGCATGTGCCGACGTCACAGCCGCGGTTTCCGCGCTCCAATGCGTCTGGCGAGCGGCGCGAAAATTTACGTTCAAATGAGGGTTTGCGGGAAATCGCTGATTTCGGATGTATTCAAATTTTCTCTTTGTTTTCTTCATGGAATTTCTACTTTGTTTTATTGATGCCTGTTGCTGTTGTATTCTGGAGGTTGAACTAGTCACTTTCAGCATAATGGGAGGAAAAGTTGGCAATTCTGGAGGTCCTTCTGTGAGCTCTTCGTCTGCGAATCAAATACCCAGTGCAGCTGCTTTGGTTTCTCTCAGACAAGCTGATGATTTGCTTACTCTGTATGCTCGAAATAAAGGCGAAGCGAGGTGAGCTTGTAGTATATATTCATGTTTGGGGTTTTTTGAGGGAGGTGCGGGTTAGAGACGGACCAACTGTGTTTTTTTGGGTTGTTTTGTGTTGATTTTTCTCCTAAGCGAGTTTTTTTCAAAATAGTTTGCTTTCTTTTTTTTCTTATCGCATATCCTCAATTTCTAGTCGCGAAGAGATAATGTACAGAGTATACGACGAAAACTGGACTCAGTTGGTGTCATGTGTTAACGATTCTAAAACCTCCCTCGCTGATTTACGTTTCCTTAGTAAAGTTTTTGAGAAGATTGTCGACTTCGTCATATCAGGTATGGTTAAGAGTACGGGATTTATTGTCGTGGTTTGCTGTGCACACTCCTTTTGGAGGCCTTACAGTAATTCGTTTTAGACCAGTTGCATCTCGCTCGAGACGTTTAAAGTCTCGGCTATCACATCAACGGAAATGGCTTTCGACAAGTTCCTGAGTGAACTATCTAGTGGAGAAATCCTTTTCTATGGCGCTTCGCTATGGCTAGCCTATTGCAAACTTTTTGTGACAGTGTTGAATCTATTCAAGATCGATTAACTGCATATCATTTTCTTCAAGAACCAAATTTATCCTTGCTCTTCGCCCCACTTCGGAAATCCCTGAATTTTGAAGGAAATTTTCTTTTTCTATAGATTTAGATTGTCCCACTTCCCGACTTAATTTTGCCGTACATTCTTTGAACACAAATATGCTGTCTCACACACAAATATTGCCCTATTTGCGTATGTCCATGCATCCCAATTATCACCAAGGGGCTTTATCGGCTAGTTCGCTGTCGTTATTGAAGAAGCTAAGCTTCATTGCACCTTTTTTCACAAGAAGGTGTTTCGTTCCAGGGTCGGATTATCCCTGAGAACAGGTTTTCGGCAGATTTGCGTTTCGATGTTGCGCCTCAGGCTCCTAAGGGGATGGCCAGGATTATTCCGCGACCAGTGGTCGACATAAGAACACGTCGGAGGCGAACTTCCAGCCAAATCTACCCATAGGAGAGACTCTGATCAGAATGCGGCCTGAATTTTAAAGGGTGCGGTCAAGGGTACTTGTTTAGGCAGTTATCAGGAACGCCTAATGGCTTGAAAGCTGTTATAAACAAAACAGATATTGTATGATGGGTTTATCTATGGCTCTTTGGGGTTATTTAGCTCTATGAGAAACTTCTCCTATGACTGTCTATCCTCCTATGACTTTACTTACAGATGCCAAGTAAAGAGTGGAACGAGTTCTTCGCTCCAATGGAGACATGGTTCAAAATCTCTGATAGAGAAGCCGTTGTTATCTGTCTACAGGTCTGGACTTCATTCATAAGTTTTGCTGCTCCCAAACTGAGTACTGGTGAGTTGAAACCACAGAGCCTTTCTGCAGCGGAAACTACTGGAACAATTCCTTTGAAGGTGCCTTGCGAGAAAAACTTCTTGGAACTTTCTCTAAACCATTGCGTTCTCATGCGGTTATGAACAAATTGTCAACACCAGCGCCAATAATTTCTGCTTATATAGCCCTGATCTCTGCATTCCGTAGTAGCGTTGATGAGAGATTCGAAGAGGTAAGCAGTCTCTTTTGACTAGCAATCACTGAAGTTTATAAGTGAATTGTTTCAGTTAATCGTTTGCTTTCTACGATTCATTACTGGTAAAGCAGTGGTTGCACTGGAGGATGTGAACGTCATCGAGGATGAGATAGCCAAGCCGATCAACGAGAACAACTTGAGGCTTATACTCGAAGGACCTTCCTCGGACTTCATGGAGTTTGTTATTAAATACTGGTCTATCCTATAGTCTCGTTCGTTGCGGATGATGGTGCGTATTAGTGCAGCTGCGTTTGGCGCAGCGCCGAACCCCTTTTTTCTCACCATTTTTGAAGCGAGTAGGCGACAAGTATCCTATCGTTGTTTTGCTCCAGTTGTTGTCATTTACCCGCTTGAGCAACTGGTGGAAAACGGGCTCGGCGCCGCATCCAGCGCAGCCGCACTGACGCGCCCCATCACACGCAGTGAACGAGTGTATTGGTCACCACTAAAGTAGCTCTATCGTAGTTGAGGGGGCCACCTACGACAGCCCTACTGAATCTGCTCCTCTACACCCTAGGATTAGGTCGTACACGCTCTAGCTGTTTACACTTTTCAAGGGCTGAGCCTGTCGGGGAGGAGGAGGGGCTACATCGTCCCTTTTTTCATTATGAGAGTAAGTATCTTTTCTCTTTCAGCTATCTCACTGATCCAAGACCACATCGCGTTTTTGATAGTGACGCACTTAAGCATGTA